GGACTTTTCGCTATGGAGGTTCCAGTTCACACTATGGCTAGGTATTAAGGACCTAGAAAGTGTGTTGGATGGATCGGAGAAGCGACCACGAGCTGACTCTGGGGAGGCATCTACTGGAGCAACCAGCCAAGTGGGATCCGGGGCTGGGGGAGCATCGTTGAGTGGGGGGAATGAAGGAGGAACCGCTGCAACTCGAACCGGAAGGTCGCAACCAAGTCGCGAGGAGTTGCTCAAAGCTCAAGAAGCATGGGATCGGAAGGATCGCCAGGCATTTCAGTACCTGTGTTGGGCTTTGGAGGGGCAACTTGAGCTTCTTAAGATGCTGATTGACCTGAAGGGGAAGGAAGGTGCAGCAGCTGCAGCTTGGAAAAGAGTGCAAGATAGGCACTTGCAGAAAGGGCTTCTAAGCGTGCTTACTTGGCGGAAGCGGTTTTACACCATGGAGCGGAACTATGGGGGAGGGGGAGACCATGGTTCAGTATCTCCAGAGGGTGGATGAGAATGTGAGGGCTTTGGAGGAGCTGGATTACACGGTAGATGAGAAGGAGATCATCTATACTGCACTCCAAGGGTTGGATCAAGCGGCTAATGAGGCATTACTACAATACCTTCACCTCGAGCAACAGAAATGGACCAAGGTGTGGATTTGGGAGGTTCTAATTTCTGATGAGGCTCGCAAGGTTGATGCTGGAAGAGGCCTAGAAGGAGGCATGTGTGTAGCAGATAAAGCTTCCTTCAGGAAAGGCTATCAACAGCAAGGAGGTGGGGGGAAGAAGAAAGAGTTGGACAAATGCCTTGTGCCCGGATGCAACAAAAAACACTCTTGGAAGAGTTGCTGGAGTAGGCCTGAGGGATGGAAGCCTCACGGCTACTCTGGAGAGGCCCCACCAGTGACCAAACCTGATTGGGTGGAGAAAAGGATGAAGAAGGGGCTCTGGAATAAGAAGGGCAGCAAGGGAGCAACGGCCGCAGCTGCTAAGGATGAGAAGGGGAAGGGCCAAGACGACTCCTCCGATGATGGTTTCTCGTTTCTCATGCTAGGGCAGGATGCATCTCTCGCTGGTCGTGCATTGGCTGATCCCAACTTCCTGGTTCTAGACTCTGGAGCAACATCTGGGATGCTTCCTGGCCGTGATCTTTTCACCTCCTACCATCCTCTCCCACCAAACTCTAGGAGAGTGATTGTTGGGAGCGGAGATTTGCTGCAGGCAATTGGCATCGGCACGATCACCATTAAGGGGAAGGAGGGGGAGCTAGTGGGTGTGAAGGGGGTCCTTCACGTCCCTGGTTTGGCTGCAAACCTCCTTTCATGCTCGCAGCTGGCTAAACAGGGATACATCTGCACTTTCACTGAGGAAGGGTGCACTGTTAGAAAGGGCGAAGCTGTGGTGATGGAGGCAAAGCTGGACAAGGGTTTATACCTTGTTCCAGCTTGTGTGCCTAATTGTTACAAGGCACATATGGTTTTTTCTGAGGAAGCCGCTTGTAGCACTCGCTGGAGGGAGGTGGAAACAGTGTCACCTGAGTTGCTACACCTTCGCATGGGGCACGCGGGGAAGCAGCAACTACTGGAGTGTGTGAAGAAGGGGGAGCTGAAGGGGGTGGAGGTCAAGGAAGGAGCTGGGCAGCAGAGAAAATGTCCTGACTGCACATCTGGAAAGCTGCCTAGAACCTCATTCCCTATCTCCTCTGATCATGCCTCGACTCCCCTTGAGCTTGTGCACACGGATGTGTGTGGACCGATGCAAACTCCTGACCGGGAAAGGGGCAGCAGGTACTTTATCACCTTTCTTGATGACTTCAGTCGACTTAGCTGGGTCATCTTGGTGAAGACCAAGGATGAGGTGGCAAAGGTGTTTAAGCGGTGGATACGCTATGTGGAGAGGGAATCAGGGGCCAAGGTAAAGGTGTTAAGGTCAGATCGGGGTGGAGAGTACCTTGGGAAAGAACTTCAAATCTTCTTGGAAGAAAAGGGTATTTCCCACCAGCTCTCTGTACCTTACATGCCGCAGCAAAATGGGGCAGCGGAGCGGCTTAACAGGACCTTGACCGATTTGGCTCGGGCCATCCTTGCCCATGCCGAGCTTGATAACACTTGGTGGGGGGCAGCAGTGCAGTATGCCAACTGGGTGAAGAACAGGATGGGCAGCAAGAGGCTTGGAGGCAAGAGCCCATACTCCTTATGGACAGGGAAGGTGCCGAATGTTTCCATGGCACGAGTGTGGGGGTGCATGGCTCAGTATAAGGTTCCTGACCAACAAAGGAGGAAGCTAGATCCTAAGGCACAGTGGGGGATTTTCCTTGGGGTTTCTGAGAGGAGCAAGGCTTGGGTGCTATGGAGTGTAGCTGACCAGCGTGTGATGGAGAGCCGTGATGTGATTTTCCATGAGGGGCTGAATTATAAGGGGTGGAAGGAGCGTGGTGCAAGCCATAGTGGGACTTCCGTTCAAGACCCTCATACGGCCTCTATCTTTGAGGGGGCATGGGAGGACCCTGGAGATGAAGGGGAGGAGCAGCAGGAGGAGCCAGAACCAGCTGATTCTAACCATGAGGAGTCCCGAGAGACAGATTCTACCCCTCAGCCAGCCACGCAGGCCGATGCGCATGATGATCAGCCGGAGCAGCATGTGCCTTCAACTCCATCGAGAAGCAGTTGGCAGGAGTTGTTGGACCAGCAGCTGTCCAAGACTCCGAGGACTCCAATAAAGAGGGTGACTTGGGAGGAGAAGCTGCGGAGGCTGGAAGAAGGAGAGGCAACACCTCTGCGACGCAGTGCTCGAATTTCCCAACCACCTGAAAGGTTTACCCCGGGGCACATTGCACGCATGCATGATCATCTTGTGTCTGATTTGGATGATTGCATGCTTGTGGATATGCATGGGCATGAGTATGCTCTTGATGTGTGTCTAATGGGTCAGGTGCATGAGCCTAGGTCAGTCCACGAGGCGCTGAACCGTCCCAAATGGGTTGAGTCCATGCATGAGGAGCTCGAGTCTCACAAGGTAAATGGATCATTTGAGCTGGTTGATCCAGCAGTGGTACCACCTGGTTTGGAGATCCTCAGGTGTCAATGGGTTTGGAAATACAAGCATAACCCTGATGGTACCGTTGAGAGGCCTAAGTCCAGATTGGTGGTGATGGGAAACATGCAAAATTGGGAGTACACTTTGAAGAAGTGTACTCTCCAGTTGGGAAGCATGCGACCTTGAGAGGTATGCTTGGAATTTCGGCTGCTTTGAAGCTTGATATCCATCATATGGACGTCAAGACAGCCTTCCTCCGTGGGGATTTGGAAGAAGAGCTTTACATGCGGCAGCCTCCTGGTTTTGATGATGGGTCTAACCGAGTGTGTCGCCTCAAAAGGTCCATTTATGGTACCTGAAATTTGATGAGGCTCTCATGGATTTTGGGTTTGAGAGATCTGAGTGTGACCCTGCCTTGTACCACTTTGTGCGAGATGAGGAGAGGATCTCCTTATTCCTCTATGTGGATGACCTTTTGCTCCTATGCTCTAGTAAAGTTTTGTTAGATCGAGTGAAAGACTTCTTGTCCTCGCGTTTTCGCATGAAGGACTTGGGGGAGGTGAAGTACTACTTGGGAATGCAAATTGAGCGTGATGAGAGTGGTATCTTGATTCATCAAGAGAGGTACATTCTTAACATGCTTCAGTCCTTTGGTCTTTCAGAGGCCAACCCCGTACGTACTCCTCTCCCGACAGGCTTTGATGTGCATGCCTATGAGGATGAACCTTTGCTGCGAGATGAGCTGGTCAAGCTCTACCAAAGCATTGTGGGATCCCTCATGTATGCTTGTACTACCACACAGCCACAGATTGCATTCGCAGTCTCACAACTATCTAAGGTCGCCTCTTGTCCTAAAATGTTCCACTTGCAGGCTGCTAAGAGAGTGCTGAGGTACCTGAAAGGTGGTGTCAAGTCAGGTATCTTCTTCCAAACACAGCCCCAATATCAGGTCCAGCTGGTTGGCTTCAGTGATGCCGACTATGCTGGAGATTCCGCAAGTCGCAAGAGCCACAGTGGGTATGTGTTCTGCCTGAATGGGGAAGCTATCTCTTGGCAGAGCAAGAGGCAGCCCGTGGTGGCACTCTCTACCACTGAGAGTGAGTACATAATTCTGTGTCAGTGCATTCAGGAGGGTGTGTGGCTGAGGCGTTTGTTTGGGGAGTTTGGCCATGCTCATGCTGGTGGTGTGCCTGTGTTTGTGGACAATCAGTCTGCCATTGCCCTTGCACAGAATGCATGCTTGCATGGCCGCACCAAACACATGCAGGTCCGGTGGCATTTCATTCGGGAGATGGTGGCTGCGGGAGAGGTGATTTTGCAGTGGTGCCCCACCAACCGTCAGGCTGCTGATATCCTTACCAAGTCTCTTCCATTTGAGCGCCATGGTGTGTGCATGACCTTGCTCGGGATGCAGCCCCATGATGACAGGGTTCCCGCAGCAGATGCCGGCGTCTTGGTGCTCCTCTCCTTGGCGGACTCCATGCTCTGGGTGGCCCCAACCCATGGGCAAGGGGGAGTGGTGTGAAGTCTTTTGCCCTATGGTGTTGAGCCACACCCAGTACGAGCAAGGGGGAGTGATAAATGTGTAGTATTCTGTGGTGTAGTTTGCTCTAGCTGGTTGTGGGCTATTGGGTTAGTTGGCAAGGTTTGAACTCGTTACCTTTCCAACCCATACAACCTCAAACCCACTACAACATCTGTGATGTTGCAGTCATGGCACTTGAGAGTCTTGGGGTTTGGTCTAGGGCAAGGGTTGGTGGTGTTTGACAATCACATACTGCAACTTTTCCAGATCGAATTGCTCCCCTTCTCGTTTTTACTACTTGATTCATGGCTGCCTAGCCAAATTACCAGAATACCCCCTCACACTGATTTCGTCATAATCAGCGGCTCAGATCTTGGTTATGAACGTGCTTTACCATTCTGGAAAGTAGAGATTAAGACCTTTCCAACGCGTATAAGCTCATTTCTAGAAGTTACCTGAGCAGCACGCAATGATCCGTTGATTTCGTCAGACTTAATCTCTAATTAGTTCTCTCCAGATTTGCACGATTTCCATCAGACGTCGGTAGAGCTGAAGCAGCTCAAGAGGAAGCTGGGGGTCTATAAGAAGCTGCACAAAACCCGAACTCCTCCTCCGGATGCATCCAATTCTTCGGCATCAGTGACGCGCACAGTCGTCAAGGAAACTCCGGGCCCTGGAGAAGAGCTGTTCTCCAAGCAGCCTCGGCCAGCTGCCAGCTCAGGAATAGATAGCAACACAAAGGTGTGTACGGAATATTGGGATGTACCCTATGACCCAATCAATGAAACCATTTTTGGGTACTCCGAGCAATGCCTGCCCCTCGTGCTCGAGGTCATCTGCAAAGGACGACGCCTCCAAGCACTCGTGGACAGCGGAGCATCACACACCGTCTGCGACAAGGCAGTAATCGACCGACTTCGGGAAGAGTACAAGCCTTCGGGAAGAGTGCAACAATGGTGGACGGCAGCAAGTTACCAGTACACGGCGAAGCAGTGCTACACCTAAAAATCGGACCACTGCGCTGGAGACCTGCACTCCCCATCACCAACATCAAAGGGCTTGACTTGATCTTCGGGCGAGACTTCCTAAAAAGATTCAACCCCGAGATCAACTGGGTGAACCGCACCGCAAGCATCTATAACAATGGACGGAGAGTACAGCTACCCAACTGGGACGATACAGGAGATATCCCAGTGGAGACACTCGCACGATTCAAGAAGGACGTGAAGCGAACCGACACCGGGTTCCTGGCGATAGCAACAGAGGCGGAGAACGACAGGGAAAAAACCTCGGAACCTCCAGGAAAGATCAAGGAATTATTGAAGGAGTTCCAAGACATTCTTCCGGACGATCTTTCGAGCGAGCTACCGCCATACCGAACGCATCAACACGAGATCGTAGAGGAACCGGGTTCGAAGCCGACCTTCCGAGCACCATATCGCCTCAGCCCTACGAAGCTGACCGATATGAAAAAACAGATCGAGTATCTCCTAGCCAAAGGACTCATCCGACCATCCACTTTGCCGTACGGTGCCCCAGTACTCTTCACACCGAAACCGGATGGAAGCCTGCGCATGTGCATCGACTACCGAGCTCTTAAAGCCCGAGTTCAGAATGGTTTGCCTTCAAGTTCAGGATTCCTGAACTTGTTTTCGTGGAAAAAAGGGTAACCCTGTTTAGCACACGCAAATCTCGTGACCCTGGGGGCCTGTGAACAGAGGTTGTTAACGATTGGGCTGTTCCGCTGAAGGCAAAAAGCTTGCGAGCGCCGCAGCAAAAGACAACACTGGAGAACACTGTTCCCACTCAGGATTCTTGAACACAAATGGACCAAACTGAACGCATTTCCAAGGAGCCTGCACGCGTATAACTCCCTCATAGGTCTCTGCGCCGCCAGATACTCGCGATCTTCCCCGTCTCCAGCTGACGCCTAAACACCACACCCGTCAAGCACGGGGTACACCCGCCACTCTGTAGCACTATCGAGTTGAGCGCGAGCGTGACACGCAGCCCCGCAATAGCCCGTCGTCTGCTCCGCGATGTCGAGGAACCTTGGCCGATCTGCGGTCGGCCCACTGCTGCAGAGAGGAGACTTGGCCAGAGGCATGTATGCGACAGGCCCCACTAGCCTAGCCTGCCCCTTCCTTGCCCGCTATCCCAGCAGCACCTGCTATTCCCCGAGCCCCCACCCCCCCCGCCCTCAAGTCTCTCGCCTGCTATTCCCTAGCCCGCACCTCCCTTGCCCGCAATTCCATCGCCCGCTTTTCCCTACCCCGTGCTTCCCTTGCCGGCAATTCCCCCGCGCGCTATTCCCTACCCCATGCTTCCCTTACCGGCATTCCCCCCGCGCGCTATTCCCTACCCCGAGCCTCCTTTGCCCGCATTTTTCCCGCCCGCTATTCCCTGCCCCGCGCATCCCTTGGCGGCAATTTTCTCGCCCCCTAGTCCCATCCCGCGCTTCCCTTCACCACAATACCATCGCCCGCTATTCCCTACCCCTCGCTTTCCGTGCCCACAATTTTCTCCCCCGCTATTCCCTCCCCCGCACTTCCCGCGGTTCCCCCGCCCGCTATTCCGCTGAAGTGGATGGCGGATAGGCGGTGGGAGAGAGAATACGCAGGGGGGTCGGAGGGGAATAAGATATGTGGAAGAAGGGGAGAGGGGCGGTGAGTGAGAGTGCGGGGGCAAGAGGAGGGAGGGGGAGAATGAGTGGCACAGTGGTGGTGGAGCCCCCGATTTAGGAGGGACAGAAGGGGGAGCAGAAGGATGAAAAAGTGGGGAGGGGAGCGGATGGCCTGTGTGAAGAGAGAGACGGACAATAGAGGGGCGGACGATGGGGAGAGGAAGGACCACGGCCCAAGGGGAAGAGGAGAGGGGCGAGGGAGCGAGTGAGGAGGGGGGGGGGAGAGGAGGGGAATGTGCGTGAGGGCAGGGGATAGCGAAAGGGAGATGATGGTGAGGAGGGGGAATGGGACTAGAGAGCCTCCTCTCCTCTCCTCTCCTCTCCTCTTGTCTCCTCTCCTCTCCTGTTGTCTCCTCTCCTCTCCTGTTGTCTCCTCTCCTCTCTTCTCGTCTCGTCTCCTCTCGTCACCTCTCCTCTCCTCTCCACTCCTCTGCTCTCTCCTCCTCTCCACGGCTCTGGGTTTAGGGTCCCCTCCGCTCTCTTCTCATCTCCTCCCATCTGCACTCCTCTCCTCTATTCTCCTCTGCTCTCCTCGGTTCTCCTCTCCTCTCCTCTCCTCTCCTCTCCTCTCCTCTCCTCTTCTCTCCTCTTGTCTCCTCTCCTCTCCTGTTGTCTCCTCTCCTCTCCTCTTGTCTCCTCTCCTCTCTTCTCGTCTCGTCTCCTCTCGTCACCTCTCCTCTCCTCTCCTCTCCTCTGCTCTCTCCTCCTCTCCACGGCTCTGGGTTTAGGGTCCCCTCCGCTCTCCTCTCATCTCCTCCCGTCTGCACTCCTCTCCTCTTTTCTCCTCTGCTCTCCTCGGTTCTCCTCTCCTCTCCTCTCCTCTCCTCTCCTCTGCTCTCCTCTGTTCTCCTCTCCTCTCTCACCTCTCTTCTCCTCTCCTTTGCTGTTGTCTCCTCTCCTCTCCTCTATTCTCCTCCGCTCTCCTGTGTTCACCCCTCCTCCGTTCTCCACTGCTCTCCTCTTCTCTCCTCTTTTCGTTTCTCCTCTCCTCTCCACTCCTCTCCTCTCCTCTCCTCTCCTCTCCTCTCCTCTCCTCTCCTCTGATCTCCCCTGTTCTCATCTGCTCTCCTCTGTTCTCCTCTCCCCTCCACTGCTTTCCTCTTCTCCCTTATCCTCGTATCTCCATTCCACTCCACTCGTCTCCTCTCCTCTCCTCCCCTCTACTTTGCTGTCGTCTCCTCGCCTCTGCTCTCCACTGCTCTCCTCTCCACTCCTCTGTTCTCTGTTCTCCTCTGCTCTCCACTGCTCTCCTCTCCTCTCCTCCGTTCTCTGTTCTCCTCTGCTCTCCACTGCTGTCCTCTCCTCTCCTCTCCTCTCCTCTGTTCTCCTCTGTTCTCCTCTCCTCTCCTCTCGTCTCCTCTCCTCTCCTCTCCTCTGCTCTCTCCTCCTCTCCACAGCTCTGGGTTTAGGGTCCCCTCCGCTCTCCTCTCATCTCCTCCCGTCTGCACTCCTCTCCTCTATTCTCCTCTGCTCTCCTCTCCTCTCCTCTGCTCTCCTCTGTTCTCCTCTCCTCTCTCACCTCTCTTCTCCTCTCCTTTGCTGTTGTCTCCTCTCCTCTCCTCTATTCTCCTCTGCTCTCCTGTGTTCACCCCTCCTCCGTTCTCCACTGCTCTCCTCTTCTCTCCTCTTTTCGTTTCTCCTCTCCTCTCCACTCCTCTCCTCTCCTCTCCTCTCCTCTCCTCTGATCTCCCCTGTTCTCATCTGCTCTCCACTGTTCTCCTCTCCTCTCCACTGCTCTCCTCTTCTCCCTTGTCCTCGTATCTCCATTCCACTCCACTCGTCTCCTCTCCTCTCCTCCCCTCTACTTTGCTGTCGTCTCCTCGCCTCTGCTCTCCACTGCTCTCCTCTCCACTCCTCTGTTCTCTGTTCTCCTCTGCTCTCCACTGCTCTCCTCTCCTCTCCTCCGTTCCCTGTTCTCCTCTGCTCTCCACTGCTGTCCACTCCTCTCCTCTCCTCTCCTCTGTTCTCCTCTGTTCTCCTCTGTTCTCCTCTCCTCTCCTCTCCTCTCCTCTCCTCTGCTCTCTCCTCCTCTCCACGGCTCTGGGTTTAGGGTCCCCTCCGCTCTCCTCTCATCTCCTCCCGTCTGCACTCCTCTCCTCTATTCTCCTCTGCTCTCCTCGGTTCTCCTCTCCTCTCCTCTCCTCTGCTCTCCTCTGTTCTCCTCTCCTCTCTCACCTCTCTTCTCCTCTCCTTTGCTGTTGTCTCCTCTCCTCTCCTCTTGTCTCCTCTCCTCTCCTCTATTCTCCTCTGCTCTCCTGTGTTTACCCCTCCTCCGTTCTCCACTGCTCTCCTCTTCTCTCCTCTTTTCGTTCATCCTCTCCACTCTTCTCCTTCGCTGTCTTTTCTTCTCCTCTCCTCTCCTCTCCTCTCCTCTCCTCTCCTCTGCTCTCCTCTGCTCTCCTCTGTTCTCCTCTCCTCTCTCACCTCTCTTCTCCTCTCCTTTTCTGTTGTCTCCTCTCCTCTCCTCTATTCTCCTCTCCTCTCTTATCGTCTCGTCTCCTCTCGTCACCTCTCCTCTCCTCTCCTCTCCTCTCCACGGCTCTGGGTTTAGGGTCCCCTCCGCTCTCCTCTCATCTCCTCCCGTCTGCACTCCTCTCCTCTATTCTCCTCTGCTCTCCTCGGTTCTCCTCTCCTCTCCTCTCCTCTCCTCTCCTATGTTCTCCTCTCCTCTTATCTCCTGTACTCTCCACTCCCCTGCTCTCCTCTCCGCTCCTATGCTCTCCTCTACCCCTCTCTCCTCTCCACCCCTCTCCTCTCCTCTGCTCTCTCGTCCCCTCTGTCCTCCTCTTCTCTCCTCTCCCCTCTTTGTCTCTCCACTCCCCTTCCCACTGCACTCCCTCTCTCACTGAGACACCTTCTTGTCATCCCCCCTCTCCCATAAGGAGATGGCGGAACCCTCGCACCTGTCAGCCCTGGAGGAGCGGTGGGTGGGGCGTGGCAACACAAGCGACGTGCGGGAGGCAGGGCTCTCAGGGCTCAGCCCTATGGTTTGTTCCCTCACTGTACCCCTGCCCTTCCCGCGCCCGCCCCTATGTCTTACCCATCCCCCCCCCCCTCTCTTTCCCCCCCCAATCTATTGACTTCCATGCCTGTCCAACCCAACCCTATACCCCCTCTCCATTTCATCATGTCAAAGGCGATGCCCAGTTGTTTGTCCAAGAAATCCTGTGTAATTTGCCACGAATCTAAGTAATTCCCCCCTTCCCCCGTTACCCTCCCCCTAACCCCTGGGTAAAACAGCCTCGCAGCTCGGCCTGTCGAAGGATATGTTCCGCTCTTCTTCCAAGACCATGACCCTGAGTCTGCCTGGCATAAGCGCTCGGTTCTGCAAGGGCCTCCAAAGGGATGGCAGTGCACAAAATAGTGATACAGGGGTACTCTGCTCAGAGGGATATGATTGGGTTTTTGCATAAGCACCTGTACTCCGCAACAAGGGTTGCGGTAGGGGAGTCTCTGGCGTAGAGGGATCATAAGATCAGGAAGAGGATATGGGAAGAGTAGACCGAGACCAAGGCGAGGGAGACATAAGAGCAGGCCAATTAGAGGGGACATTGTGTACGTTTGGCGCAAGGTGGGGGGTAGAATACTCTGTGACCTACCCGCCATGATGTTGCATCGGTTTATCCATTCTTGGTGCGCCTAGCTCACACAGTAAATTCTCTCGCTGATCCTACCCAAAACATGTTGCATTCAGGCTTATCCTTATTCAGCCATGCATATACATGGCTGGAAGTGGCCAACAAGAGACACATGTTGGTGCAACATCCAGTTGGACGGGATGTGTCATGTACGTATTGGACGCAGGGGTGGTGTCAACGTGCACTGTATGCCTTGCAATTAAACATACGCTAGGTTCATCTAAAACCAATGGGACTAGGCATGTAGAACCAGCACGCCAAAAAACGTGTATGCAGCAGAGTGGGTGGTCTGAGAGGAACCATGGCTTGGAGCCAACATGCGTGACTTTGGCCCGTCAGACAGAGGGAGGGGGGCTGCCAAAGTGATTGGAAGGGGGGGTGGTGGGACACAAGGGGAAACTTATGAAGCAGCATGGAAAAGGAAGTGAACGAAGGGTTATGATGTGACTGGAGGCAATCCTGTGCAAAGAGGGGGGGTAACCCCCATCAGAGGGGAGACGCCAACATGGCGCATGTGAAGATAAGAGAACAGGGGAAGCAGCACAGGGACGGTGCAAAGGAGTGTAACGCGGGTGGGTGCAGGGCGATGGTGAGTCAACCTTGGGCCCTCGATCGATCCTCTACATTTATAACGTGAAACAGTCCTGAGAGTGGGGGAGATGGGCAGCAAGCTGAGAGGGGGAGAAGGGTGGCAGGAGCCTAATAGGGGGAGAAGAGAAAAAGGGAGTGGGAATATAGGGAAAGGGGCAAAGAGGGGCGGTGGGGGATAACAGGGTAGGAAGGTGAAAGTAAGGAGGGACCGGGAAAAGGTGGGTTGATTAGTGGGAATCTGCGGGGAAAGGAGAAAACACTGTAAGATTCTATGGGAACGCAGGGGGTGATGGGGCAAACAGGGGTTGATGGAGAAAAGGCGGGTTGATTGGAGGGAAACAGGGGAGAATGGAGAACTCAGGGTAAGATTTGATGCTAAAGCAGGGGGTGCTGGGGCAAACTGGGGGTGATGGGGTATAGAGGGGTTGACGCGAGAAAAGGCGGGTTGATTGTGTGAAACATGGGGGAAAGTGGAAAGCAGGGGAAGATTTGATGGGAGAGCAGGGGGAGATGGGGAAAACTGGGGGTGATGGGGAAAAGCTGGGGGTGATGGGAAAAGCTGGGGGAGATGGGGAAAACTGGGGGAGATGGGGAAAACTGGGGGAGATGGGGAAAACTGGGGGAGATGGGGAAAACTGGGGGAGATGGGGAAAACTGGGGGTGATGGGGGAAACTGGGGGAGATGGGGAAAACTGGGGGTGATGGGAAAAGCTGGGGGTGATGGGGAAAACTGGGGAGATGGGGAAAACTGGGGGAGATGGGGAAAACTGGGGGAGATGGGGAAAACTGGGGGAGATGGGGAAAACTGGGGGAGATGGGGAAAACTGGGGGAGATGGGGAAAACTGGGGGCGATGGGGAAAACTGGGGGTGATGGGGGAAACTGGGGGAGATGGGGAAAACTGGGGGTGATGGGAAAAGCTGGGGGTGATGGGGAAAACTGGGGGAGATGGGGAAAACTGGAGGAGATGGGGAAAACTGGGGGTGATGGGGAAAACTGGGGGTGATGGGAAAAGCTGGGGGTGATGGGGAAAACTGGGGGAGATGGGGAAAACTGGGGGTGATGGGGAAAACTGGGGGAGATGGGGAAAACTGGGGGTGATGGGGAAAACTGGGGGTGATGGGAAAAGCTGGGGGTGATGGGGAAAACTGGGGGAGATGGGGAAAACTGGGGGAGATGGGGGAAACTGGGGTTGATGGGGAAAACTGGGGGTGATGGGGAAAACTGGGGGTGATGGGAAAAGCTGGGGGTGATGGGGAAAACTGGGGGAGATGGGGAAAACTGGGGGAGATGGGGAAAACTGGGGGTGATGGGGAAAACTGGGGGTGATGGGAAAAGCTGGGGGTGATGGGGAAAACTGGGGGAGATGGGAAAAGCTGGGGGTGATGGGGAAAACTGGGGGAGATGGGAAAACTGGGGGAGATGGGAAAAGCTGGGGGTGATGGGGAAAACTGGGGGAGATGGGGAGAACTGGAGGTGTTGGGGAAAACTGGGGGTGATGGGGAAAAGGCGGGTTGATAGGAGGGAAACAGGGGAGAACGGGGAATACAGGAGAAGATTTGATGGGAGAGCAGGGGGTGATGGGGAAAATAGGGGGTGATGCGGTATAGATGGGTTGATAGGGAAAGGGCGGGTTGATTAGCGGGAAACAGGGGAGAATGGAGAAAATAGGGGAATATTTGATGGGAGAGCGGAGGGTGATGGGGAAAGGAGGGGGTGATGGGGGAAGGAGGGGTTGACGGGGAAAAGGCGGGTTGATTGGAGGGAAACAGGGGGAAAGGAGAAAACAGAGCACTATGCGATGGGAAAGCAGGGAGTGTTGGGGAATGCTGGGGGTGATGCGGCAAACAGAGGTTGAGGGGGAAAGAGGGTGATTGATGGGAAACAGGGGGGAAACGAGGAAACAGGGGTACATTTTATGGGAAAGCTCGGGTTGAAAGGGGAGATTGGTAACACAAAACAGGAGTGGAAGGAGAAGGCAAAATCCCGCGCCTGGTTTGTCAACCCCCCCTCTCCTCTCAAACCCTAATATGGCGGCAAACGCACCTGTCAGCTCGGGTCCATAAGCAACGCCACCATTCTAGGCCGCCACGGCAGCTGGAAAGGTCACCATAATGTGTGGGGTGTCTCGCGTCTGTCGCGCAACCGAATAGGACAAGCAAAGCCATACTGGCTAGCACGGGCGCACTTCTCTCGCAGGGTATCCTAAACCCCGCATGCAGCTGCAGAATCCCGTGCCTAGTCACAGAAGTCCGCGCCGTGTCACACCACCCCGCGCCTTGTCACTGCATTTTGGTTTCAGGGTCACAGAATCCCGCGCCTAGTCACGGAATCGCGCACCTATTCACGGAATCCCGCGCCTAGTCACAGAATCCCGCGCCTAGTCACAGAATCCCGCGCCTAGTCACAGAATCCCGCACCTAGTCACAGAATCCCGAGCTTAGTCACAGAATCCCGCGTCTAGTCAAAGAATCCCGTGCCTGGTCACAGAATCCCGCGCCGCGTCGTGGAACCCCGCGCGTTGTCACTGCAGTCTGCGCCTAGTCACAGAATCCCGCGCCTAGTCACAGCATAATCACGCCTAGTCACAGAATCCGGCGCCTAGTCACAAAATCCTAGGAATCCTTGTCACATTGAATGTGCGCCTAGGCTCCCGTGCTCCTTGCCCCGTGTCTACCTGACGCGACGTTGTGTGTGGCGTCAGCGTTTCCGTCCCCCGCGTTCTGAGTTTGTCTCGCTCCGGTTTCAGCCCGCCGACTCTGCCTTGGACGTTTCTGGTTCGAGACGCGGACCTATCGCTGGATAGGTTCACGCTCAGCGTCTGCACCCGGCCTGTACTATCCGTGTCAGCGCCTTTGTCGCGCTTGTTATTGCACTGTTCGGATTCCGCTTCGCAATGCAAGAGTGCTGCTTGTTCCCTTGTACTAACAGAGGTTGGCGTAGGCCTGTGACGTTGGTGCCGAGTGGAATAGTGTCAACCTCCTCATTTTCCATCACCTGGAACAGTTGTGTATTTCCCATTTTGCTCCCTGCAGGACATGCTGGTCCCCTCTCACCCTAACGTGCGACATTCCATCTGTCTCGCGTGCTTCCCTTTTTTTTTTCGCCTCACGCCCATTCCCGAAATCCGTTTCGCAAAGTTTAGCGTGCACTGTTTTCATGGTCAGGATTCTTGTTTTCAAACCATTCGAAACTAGGGCTTTAACAAGCAGACCATCAAGAATAAATATTCGATACCGCGAATCGATAACCTGCTTGACCAGCTTCGGGGAGCTACGGTATTTTCCAAACTGGATCTGCGGTCCGGATACTGGCAGATACGGATGGCGGACAACTCTATCCACAAAACTGTTGTCCGAACTCGATATGGATCGTACGAGTATCTGGTAATGCCGTTCGGACTCATCAACGCACCGACAACGTTCCAAGCCGAAATGAACCACATTCTACGACCACTTTTGGACGAGTGCGTGGTGGTATACCTGGACGACATCCTCATCTACTCACGCGACATGAAGCAACACGTCGAGCACCTGCGACGCGTCTTCGAAATTCTTCGACGAGAACGATTCTACGTCAAACTGTCCAAGAGCGAATTCGCCCTTGAGAAGGTCCAGTTCCTAGGACACATGGTGAGCGCTCAAGGAGTTCACGTCGACCCCAAGAAGATCGAAGCCGTACGTACGTGGAAGACACCCGAGAACGTGAAGGAGTTACAGCAGTTCCTAGGCTTCGCTAATTATTACAACAGGTTCGTGCCACAGTATGCGAAACTCGCAGCACCACTCACAAATCTGCTGAAGAAGAACACACCCTACAAATGGGAGCCGAAGCACCAGGAAGCCGTGGAGCAGCTGAAACAAGCACTCACGTCCGCACCAGTACTCATCTTGCCAAATCCCGAACGCGACAACGTAATAGAAGCTGACGCCAGCGACCAGGCAGTGGGAGCAGTCTTAATGCAAGATCCATGGAATGGACTGCAACCAATCGCCTACCTGAGTAAGAAACTACACGGGGCAGAACTAAACTACCTGATACACGACAAGGAGGCCCTGGCCATCATCATCGCCTTCAAAGCGTAGAGATGTTATCTCGAAGGACGAAGAACAATCGTCTACACCGACCACTGCAGCCTGAAATACTTGAAGACACAACCCAACCTCTCCAGGCGGCATGTCCGGTTGATCGACTTCCTCGAGACACACTTCCACTACGACATCGTGTACAAGCCCGACCACAAAAACAAAGCAGACGCTCTCAGCCGGCCTGCACACGTTGCCGCTATTCAGATCGAAGGGATGAATCCACTACTCAAGGGAGTCTTCACACATGGGTACGCCATCGACCCCGAAATTCCCTTAGCAGAGAAACGTCATCTGCTACAGTGGGACAGTGACATCGCGTACCGGAAAGGATCAACGAAAATCTGGGTACCCAAT